TTGACAAATCAATCTCAACCAAATTGAAACAATTTGAAACCAAACTTGACAATCCAATATTAGTAAAAAACCTTGATCTTGACAGGTTTATGGAACACAAAGCATCCTTACATACCAATGAAACAACATTTAACATGCTGTCTTCAATGCGAGGGCAAACAGTTAGATCAAGATGTTCAATATGAGGGTACCTATGAAGGGTTCTTGATAAAAGCTCAGCTCTAAGTGGCTTAAGGGCCTTTCTATGGTGAGATTCAATGGAGTAAAAGGCTTTGCAGGTTAAAGAAAATGACTTTTTAGCAAAAGGGTCATCGTTAAGATAGTCAAGGATTGTAAAGATGATCTCTTCAGTGAAAAAATCAAAGGGGTTGCAATTGCAAGCGGTTTTCTTGGCGGTTTTCATGGATTTGAGAGTGGAAAATTGGTGGAAAGGAATGTGAAAAGATTTTGAGAGGAATGGGTTTTTTTGGTGGAGTTTAAGGGAAGATTCTATGATGGGTAACGGTTAACAGAAAACAGTGGTTGAGCTGGGGGAGTTTCTGTTGTACTTGGGCTTGGAGAAGAAGACTTGTGAAGGTGAAATGACTACATTAGGTTTTATGGTGTTATTTTGATCTTTGATTTTTATGCGATTAAATTAAATTCCTTTTATTGTTGAATTTCCTATTCAACCCGTTTTCCTTCAATCAAATATATATATATAGTATTTTGTTAAGAAAATATTTTATTTTTAACATTAACACATCAAAATCAATTAAAAAAACTTAAAAAAATCAATTTAATAGTTTTTTTTCTAAAATAAATATACTTTTTAAAAATATCCAAAAAAAATATCAAACTTTCAAATAATATTTAAAATCATGTTAAACAATGTTTCTAAAATTATCTTTTTAAAAAATTCTTAATATGACTTGCATCATTATTAAAATTATATATCAATTTTAGAATGTGTCTAAAATCAAATATCAATATTATTATTAAATCACTAGATTTCAATGAAATAATAAAACAAGTTAATAAAATTTAAATTTAATAATATAAATTACATCATCATTTCTAATATCATCTTCATGTAAACTTATATTTTAATAATTCATGATAAAATCAAAATCAATCTAAAACCCATAAAATAAAATTTTTATTCGATGAATTATTATATACAGTTACTTTTACCCTTCCCACTAATACCACGTCAATATGGTTGCAAAGAGAAAAGCAAAAAATGCTTTTACTATTAAGTATATATTTAATATTATGGTAAATTTTATGTTTATAGTTTGATAATATAAGTTTTAAAAAATTATAAATTATAGTTTTTTTTAAACAAGATTTCAAGGGAAAATATTAGTAAAATTCATATAAAACTATATTAGATAATGATTAATTAAAAACTTTTAAAACGTTTCAATTATACTTACAATACATTATACTCTAAAAAGAAGGGGGCAAGGAGAAGTGGCAAAATGGGAAATGAGAAAAAATAAATGCCAAGGTTAAGTGGGAGGGTCGTGTACTTTCTAATTATGGAAGGGATAGAAAAGATATAAAAGAGGATGGACTAGGGGAAGTTTGCATGTGAGGAAGGCAAGCAAGCAAGCCAAGGACATTTTCAACCTCCTCACATGGTACGGCCTTTTTAAATCCCTGCCCTCCACCTCATTAATCAACGTGCCATTTTATTTGTACGTTCTTCTTCCCTACGCGCTATTCTCGAGCGTATGCATGTCGTTAAAGTTTTATAATTTGTATTTTTTTTTTCGTATTTTAGATATACGAAATCTTCTCTCTTTTATATATATATATATAAGCAAGTAATATGCATGGGCATTAGATACATGCAAAATAATTCCATTGAATGTGATTAAACATTCAAAGGTATTAGATACAATAATACATACAACAAAAATTGATAAATACCTCAATAATTTAAATAAAATATTCTAGAACCTCATGAAATGAATACAACAAAGTTTAAAAAATTACATTTAGTTCATAATCAAATTACCATGAACTAAAATCTTTATAGAATTCATGGTGAAAGATTACAAAATTAATAAAAAAAACTCTATTTAGATTGAATTTCTTAATCATTGATAAAGTCTAATTCAATTTTTTTTTTTTTTTATATTGTACCCAACCTTGTTAATGGCGACAATTTCTATGCTATTAGCTTTTTTATTTTCCATGCTTTAGTTTTTTTTTTAAATTTTTTTTTAATTTTATAGTTTTGTTTTCTCATTTAGTTCGCTTAGATATCCTTTTAGCTTTCTTTAATATTGTTTGAATTAGATTTTTATAGAGGCGTTATGCTTGATTTACCAAAGATTTATTTATGAAATTTCTAGTAAATTTTTTTTCTATTCTCATAATAAAAAATTTCACTTTCCTTTTTTATTTTTTTTTCAAAACATGTACATAAAAAAAAACATTGTGAAAGTATATTTTCTTATTTATTAGCTTCTAAAGAGGCCTTCTCATTACTATGAATCAAAATTCAATGAGAGCTAAAGTATAGGTAGAATTCAATGATTAAATAGTGATTTTTCACTACAATATATAAATTTATTTCTTTTTATATATAAATAAAATAAATAAAGAAAAAATATATAGAATAGAGAGTTTGATGATAATTTTGTATAAAATCAAAAGTAAAAATACAATAAAAATCATATAAAAACCAATCAAGTTAGAAACCATGTTGGAATGCAATAGATTCACCTGAAAACCAATGAAAAAACAATTGCAATAAGATACTTAAGAAGAAAGAAGAGAAATTAGAGAAAGAAAGAAAGAAAAAAGGCATTGATAAGAAGAACACGACTACCAAAATCTATCCCTACCAAATAAACAAATCAAAATCGCTTATAGAAAATAAATTATATGTGCATGCATATTCTTAACTTATACGAGGGAATTTTAAAATAGATATTGAAAAGAAAGATTGGCGAATTAAATTCTAATAAACAATGTATTTTTTATTCATGTTTTATTTTTTTCTACCTTGGGAAGTTTGCATCTGAGGAAGGCAAGCACGACAAGGACATATTCAGCCTCCTCTCATGGTACGGCCCTTTTAAATCCCTGCCCTCCACCTCATCAATCGACGTACCATTTTATTTGTACGTTCTTCTTCCCCGCGCGCTATTCTAGAGCGTGTGCATCACTTTCCAAATAGGATGAATGCAGTTCAAGTTTTATAATTTGTAATTTGTTTTAGTATTTTAGATATATGAAGTCCTCTCTCTCTCTATTTTTTTCTAGTAAAATATATTTAAGGTTGTATTTTAAATTTTACAATAAAAAATTACTAAAATTTACATGTTGAATACTATATATATATATATATATTATAAAATTTAAATTAATTTAGTAAATTGATTAAGGATTCGAGTAATCTAAAATCTAAACTAGCTTGAATTATAAAAATAAATTAAAATACTCAGGGGTTTAATATTGTAAAAAATTCAAATTAACTCAAAACCTAAATTAATATTAAATCCTTAATTTGTTGACTTTTTATTTTTTTTATAATAATATCATTTTAATTATTTAAAAAAAATTAATAAATTAATTCTAGTTAATTCTCCTAACATGTAATTCATAGCTTTCTCTAAATAAATTCTTATATCATGTTTTATAACTAGTTATAATTCTCAATTCTCGTACTCGTATAATTCGATTCATTTAATAAATATTTTAATTTAATATAATTATATTAAAGCTAGAGCCATGATATATATTTGTAAAGCAAGCATTTTTCGGAAAAAGGACAATTATAATCAATAGCAATGAACCAAAAAATGTATCTTTTTTTTTTAAAAAAAATATACGATGAAATATAGAAGTCTTTGAGCCATTAACAACAAATATCAAATCTTAGCCGTTGAGTTGTTCTCATGATACAATTTTATTCTTCTAATTCAATATATATAAATCATGAAACAACTTCGGGGACTTCACATATCAAATGGGATTTAACGCATCTAGAGACAAGTATGAGTTCTTTTTTCCCCAGCTTCTTGTAGGCCTCACCAGCCTATGATGATTAACTTTACTCAAGGCCAAAAAATTAGAGGACACCAAGCAGGGAACATGCTTAGTCAAAAGGGGTTGGATAATGGTAAAAGAAAAAACTCTCCTCCATCAGAAACGGCTGCAAATGAGGAGCATATCAAGCCTATCTCAGCCATGTAGCATGGCTCTGTGCAAATTCCGTCCCCTGTAGTAAAACGCCCTGAAAAGGAACTGTAGATGACTGGATTTAATTCCATTTCTCAAGTTAGCTAAGATGGAAGATCAAACATGACCTGTCTTCTGTACTCCCAATCCAACTCAGTACAATGTTCCTAGAATTAGAGGCCCGATGACCACATCTAAATCATGGACTTGTTACACGAAGCCATTCGTCTCTTATCTGCTAGCGCCACAGATAAGAAATATAAAATGCAGAGTGATTAAAGAGAAATGGATGAAGGATTAGTGAAACCAAAATTGTTCATTCCAGATCAATTTCAACTACAAAAAGTTCAATGGGCTCGCATTTCGTTTCCTATTTTGTTAGATCAGAATCCAAAGGCACAACAGCTTTTAACCATGCAGTGGAGGTTGCCTTTTGTCAGCACATAAAGCCATACATCCTTGTTTTAATAAAAAAAAAAACAAAGAGAGTTAAAGGACTTGGAGCCCTCACCGATTGGAAACATCGACAGATTGGCATAAACACTGAATGGAGCGGATAAAAATATACCAGACAGCAGCCCTCACCACTTGGCAACATCACTGGATATGGTCTCAACAAGTTGTGAAACATCACCAGGTACAGAAAATCTGTGACAGTTACGCAGCTGGTGCAATCCAGCCGAGTTGTGAAACATCAGTAGGCACAGAAAATCCGTGACAGTTACGCAGCTGGTGCAATCCAGCCAGCAATGAAGAACTAAATATAATGTAGAAAATAAAGGAAAACTGAACTTGCCAATTATATGGGATCATCTAATTCAAAATACTTCACGGAGATTCGCTTGGAAAAGCATATTCAGATCTTCTCATTGCATTACTTCAAATTGTGATATTGAACATCAAACAAATTGGAAATGAAATTCGACAATTAGTTATCGAGAATCTACATGGTTACCGTATGCATAGAACTCTTCGATCATCATATCCAAGGGAAACATTTGAGGCAAGAAGTGAAAAAGGAACTAGCTTTAAAACAAGGGTTGGTTACTTCTTGGCGTAAGTAATAGCCATAGGGTTCTGGGGAGTAATTTTGAAACCTTGAAGGGCCTGCATGGCCATGGAGGATTGCACATCATCTTCAAATTCCACAAATGCAATACCTGGCTTTGCCTCAATCATTCGGACTTCCCTAAATCCTGGGTATTGCTGGAAGAGCACTTGCAACATCATGCTAGTGGTTTCATGGGGCAAGTTTTGAATAAACAATATATTATTTGGTGGAACGGTTTCCTGTGCACTCTGGTTTCCTTGGCGGAAAGAAGTCTACACATCACAGACACAGACAGGATATAATAAGCAAGCATTGATTAGATAAAATATAGGAATTCAAAATAAGTAGTTGAAGTACACAGATGAAATACACAGGAAAGGTTTGAGTGTGAAATGTGATGCATTAATGCCAGCAATAAAATCAATACATACATCAATGGCACAATGAATGCTTAAAAAATTATCATGCAACCATCTTCAACACTCTTCATCTTTATAAAAATGAAACACATGAAACTGCATATAAGCCTAAGCTTATTTGCTCAACTCGTAAGAACATCAAAACATGCATGCAAGGGTTCAAGGCACATTGGAGGACAGAAGCATAAATGTGACTTACTGGGCCCCCATTACTTTCAGCAGGTTTCCCATTAGCTGGAGCTGATTGCTGAGCTTCTTCAGCACGTTTCTTTCTCTCAGCTGAAGAGGAAAACATGTATCCAATTATAAGTGCATAATAGAACATCAGGAGCATCAATGAACAAAAATTAAGATGTTTTTCCCCTTCATAGTAAGTCAAAACAAAACATTAATCTAGCGTAAGAATTTAAATCCCATCCAAGTTAAGACATGGCACTGCCCCAAAATTGCTCTATTTTTATTCTTTCATAAGTTGTCAAAAGTTATTAGAAAATGATACATATTGAGAACATTTTCCACACACACAACTTGTTTCCCATCTGATTTTAGTACTTATAACTATAAACCTGGAAGGCAAAATCACCTAAGTTACACGGGCATAATCACCTTAAGTTACACAGGAGCATCGACTGAAACATAAATCAGGTATCAGCATCAAATTTGTAAGGGCAGCACTTGCTTCTATATGGTATTAGGTTTCACTTTTACAATAATACAATCATGTACAAATCATAGGTCAACAGTAAATATTTCCTTAAGAAAAGTCATATGCTTGAATCAGGAACTAGATAACTAAATCAACCATATTAAATGGTGTAGTTCCTGCTATCATATCGAATAGTGGAGCCTCTAACACAGCATTTGCTCAAGAAATGGTTCCTCAAACCTTTTGAGCAGTTTAAAGAACAGAACAAGAAGAGTTTTTACTTCCTGGTCAATACAGCACTTACAAAGAAGAATTCAAGCATATTTCTCTGCTATAACTTCCTAATGCAATTTTCTTGAATTCAATGAATGAGTTCCATTTGAGCACTCAAATTTTTAAGTATGGGATAAACATACCAGTTGTAAAGCTCAATAAAGTAGAAATTGCTACTTAATTGCACTCACCTTTTTCCTCTTGCTTCTTCTTCTTCTTTGCATTTGGATCATAGACTCCTTCTGCTTCTGCAATGCAATCAGACTTTGTTTTCGCGTATTGAATCCGCTGCACCGCAGCAATGAGATTCATTGCACAATGAAAATTTACTAGGCACAAAGATATTCTACAGAAATATGAATGTTCTCAAGATTCTAAATAAACAAACAAATACACAAATAATAACCGTCCTCAGGGAATGCATGCTTTAAAGAGTCCACTAGTCAATGTTTTTGACAAAATTGTAGTTAATTAGGCACACATATTTCTCTCTTCTATAGTACACTAAAATAAATTATACCACACAACTATGACCTTTCTATCAGGTCAAAACACAATATAACTCCATGATTGGCATAATTGAAACTTCATGTAAGGCATTGTGAATCTTTCCCTTTTTCTTCTTATGTCAATCACAAAGTGAATTATTAATTTAAGGGTCACAATGAGCCCATTATTAACCATGAAAATCTATGACTTCTTGTTCACAAGAACCATCCATTTCGCAACAGTAGTTTTGGAGGAGCTGGTGAAAGAATACCATCCCACTGTTATGCAAGTCCATAACAAGCAAGCAAAGGCTCAAGGATAAAACCAAAAAAAAAAAAAAAACTGAACAGGACAAACCACAAAGACTATAGTTTATGGTCACAAAATCACACCCAAAACAAGTTGATAATCCATTACTAGTATAGACAAATTGAAACACATCAAAATTGTGGCTTTGAAAGCTGACAGATAATAAAATTAAAAATTCTTTACACTTAGGAAACTTGAGAAAAAGACATCAAAGAAACATACCTAATTGATGCATTAACAAATACAAAGAGCGAAGACTTACTGACCAAGCATCGCAAGACGTACCATAGGTTTATCATAAAACGGAAAACCCTGCATCTGTCGCACAGCATTACTCGCAGCCGTAACTTCACTAAACACTACCCATGCTTGCCCTCGAAGCCTCGCCGTCTTCAAAGCAACAACATCCAAAATCCTCCCATATTGAGAGAACAGACAATAAAGTGACCTCTTCAACTCTACCCACACACCAAAAAAAAAAAGACACCCCATAAAAAATCTTCCACACACCAAAAAAAAAAAAAAAGACACCCCATAAAAAATCTCTCATAATTAAGTTAAAATGCATAAATATCACTACACATCACATTAGTTTCACTTCTCATTGATCAAATAACTTTCTTTAACAACTAATTTAAGCTACTTCCACACTAAAATTTTAAGCTTGATTTCACTAGCAGTAACCCTAAGAAGAAATCTCCTCGAAAGATCAACCAAGAGTGCTTTCAGCTACTATATTGCTTAAGAAGCAAAAACAATCGTAAGGTTCAGATTCTTTTTAGGGTTTTAGTCGCTCAAACTTAGCTTATTTTTCTGGGCAAGAAGAACAGCAAGAACGTTAGATGGAAGTAAGCAACAACAAACCTTCTTTCTTGACCTTCTCGTTGAGGTTCTTAATGTAAATTGTTTGGTTCGGTGGTATGTCCCCTGTTAGCATCTTAGCTGAAAACCCAAGAGAGAATCTGAGACAGATTTTGGAGGGTTTTTGAGAGAGAGAAGAGGGAGAGTGGAGGGTCTGAGGAGAGGGAGTCCGTTTGAGGACAGACTGAGCCCTAGCTATATATTTGGGCCTCATAGAGTGGTTGCTGTTATCTGGGCTGAAATCAAGTGAGATTTAGGCTTTTGGGTTTTTTCATGGGCTGAAATATGAAAACTTGATATTGGCCTTACCTAAGTTTTTAATTTTTTCAACTAAGTACATGAATTTTTTCTATATTATTTTATATTATATTGAGAGTATTGAAATTTATTCTAAAAATATTTTAAAAATCAATTTATTTTCATATTTTAAACCATTTAATTTTTTTTTTATTTTAAGACTAATTAAATGCAATCTAATATAACATTTCTTTGTACACAACAACAACAAACACTAATAATAAAGAACTTTACAAAATAATATATAATTGTTCTCATTATATGTAATTTTTTAGCAAGAAGAATATGCCACTTTAACCTCTACTTTCATAAATAAATTTCCTATGGTAATAGAAAAAATATATCACACAAAACAGTTTTTAAAAGTAAGTGTTTTATTTTTCCTTATTAATAAAAAAATTTAACTCTAAGTGATTAATCTATATTTAAGTACTTAAGCCAACATCTAGATAAAAGATTTATTAAATTTTTTTAATGTATTAAATTATAAGAAGTGCACTTTAAAATTATTAGCAAAGAAGAGTTAATCTTAGTAATTAAAAAACATCCTTTACCTTTTTTAAAAAAATTAAGCAAGATCATGAATTTATCTTGAGTCCTGCTATATCCGCCATTTAACTAGTGTTAAACGAAAGGAACCCAAAAAATACCTTCCGTGTTTTGCCAAGAATCATGGACTAGAATGATCAGTCTAGCCCAATAGTCTCTAGTAGATCGGAACAAGCTCCGGTGGGAATCTACTCCCTGATACCTGAAGACGGTAGGAAAATTGTTCATCAAGAGACAATGATGATAACAGTTAGTCCACCTATATATGGAAGAAGTACATTATGATGAAAAATGGGCAATGATACAAGTTTTTGTCTTGTGAAATATGGATAGGTCCTCCTGGTTCTTAAACAGAAGGGAAAAGAAGGAGAAACATTTTAGTCGAGCATTCTTCCGAGGGATAATATACTTGAATAACCCACATTTTGAACTTGATTTTGAGTCTTTTTTAGTTTCTAGTTTTCTGTGAGATAATATAACAACAATATTTAGCTTTTTGTTATTTTGTTTTATTAATTATTTTGTTTTATTAATGTAGATATTAGAACTAATTTATATATATTTTGATTAATTTTTTGGATCCTTAAGTTAATAATTATGTAAACTTTAATAATTTTGAAGTTTACAAGACTTAAATTAATAATTTTTTTTAAAAAAATCTAAAATATAACCAATTAAGTTATATTTTTCATAATTTTTTATTAGTTAACTGTGAAGGGTAAAATTCAAATCTTTTAATGAGTTATATATAAGGATAATATTGATGTTTTTATAATAAAAAAAATTACATTTTGCTTATTTGTTTTTGAAAAGTATATTTTTGTCATTCTTGATGAAATGATTTTTGACATTTGATTTCTTTGTCTAAGCAAGTTGTTCGACCCTTCTCAAGGCAGGCCAATTGGATCCAACCATTTGCATCTATACTAACTCATCAAGAAAACGTAGCCTCCACTGTTCTCCATTCATCTTCTCCTCTGTAAAAGTTTTACTTCCATCATGGTTCTAGCAACCATCATGAATGCTTAATGCTAATGCTGTTGAGCACCATGTGAAAGAACTTGAACTCATGTTTCCACGTATTGGTTTGACAATGGCGAAAATTGACAGTACAAATAACGTCATAATTATGGCTCGCAAATTCTAAGGTTATAATATGGAGATATAGGTAGAGAAAGCTTCATATTTTCTGTGAAGTTTATTATTCAATAATAAGATAAAAAAAATACCATCCGTTTAAATAGAGATTGAAATCAATCTAATCAAAAGAAATCAAATCTTAGCAAGAAAAGTTATTAAAATTCAATATTAATTAGAAAAATAATAAAAAAACAAAAATTTAAGAGATTTTCACTTACATTACTTACAAAATTGAGCTTGTAGAATTATCTCATGGCGATTTAATAATTAAATCTAAAATTATAATTATTGTTATCATTTATAAATAAATGAGTAACATGTTTCATGTTAAAAACTCAAGATTTACTTTTTTTTATTTTGATTTATGTGAGATGTCCGGATAAAACACACCTCAATTAATCTAAAAAACTCAAGGCTCCTTTCATCCGAGGTGCCTTGTATACTGCAAAATCGCTGTGAATGGCACACAAGGTCGTGTTAAGTACTGGTGAGTGATTTGAATTCTAAGGGAATTTGGAAAGGTTGTCATGAATTGAAGGGTGGAAAGATTTTTTTTATTTTAATTTATATGAAATGTCCGGATAACACGCCTTAATTAATCTAAAAAACTCAAGGCTCCTTTCATCCGAGGTCCGAGGTGCCTTGTATACTGCAAAATCGCTGTGAATGGCACACAAGGTCGTGTTAAGTACTGGTGAGTGATTTGAATTCTAAGGGAATTTGGAAAGGTTGTCATGAATTGAAGGGTGGAAAGATCTATTCATCAGAATTATTTGCTGAAATGCAAGTGAATAGTGAATGTTGCCCTTTCTTCAGCAAACAAGTCACTGAAGGCTCTATCATTGATGAAGCTATTCTTCCTTTCTGATTCAGACAATTATAATTCTGACAATCATTGACATCCTTATTTGCTGTCACACCCACTTGAAATCTACTTAGGTTTTAGGAACTTTTTTCCCTTCTTTTCCAAGCAAACTAGTTGCTGCAGCATTTGTCGAAGTTCCCTCTCCTTTGATACCCTCCACCTTTTTGAAGTAAGATAAGAAACACTCTAAGGGATGGAGACAAGTCTGAGTTAGTGAAGTTTCACGTAGTTCCAACATTCCTATCAACTTCCCAGTTCCAGACCGTAAGCAATCCTCTCGGAACATGGGCCGGAACAGGTAGAAGGTTACCGCTTAATGTCACAAGTTATCCAAACTCCGTGAACATAACCACAGGACTTACCAATACTAGTTTATCTGGAACCGTATACACAGACAACCAGCTAGCCATTTATAAGATTGAGAAGGTACTCCTCCCCAAGGACATTTTTGCTTCTCATGCTCCAGCTCCAGCCCCAGTGGCACCTGCACCAGAGAAGCCAACAAAGGCAGTTCCTGCAGTAACTGTAGAGAGTCCTGCAGCTTCTGTGGATATATCTAGTGCACTTATCTTTACTAAAAATATTCTGGTGGGATCATTTGGTTTACTTGCTTCTGCAATGTTTTCTCTGTAATGTAGAAGGATTTCGAATCTTGATATGATATATGTAGGGGTTGTGTCCGGTTTGGTGCTTTGTTTTGCTGCGCCGGCCGATTGTGTGTTGAATAATTCTGCTTTTACCTTGAATCCAGTTTGTATGATTTGAGTTCATGATTGAGTTGAATTTTGAGATTCTATCTAATTAACTTGATTAGTCATCAAATTTCATTTTTTTTTTCACTATCATTTCCTAGCTTTTGGCTAGATAATGGTGGTTTGATTGGCGGATCAAGAATTCTATGATTATGAGCATTGGAGGAAGCATCAATTCCTACCCTTGAACAATGATTATCTTTGATTTCTCTATTAAGCATACATTCATACTTGCTGGACATATTTTCCATATCGAAAAAATCCCCCCAGCATTTCATGCTACACTTGCTTGTGAACTTGCAGTTTCTACATTATAATTCACTTAAAATTGATTTCTTAGAAGATCAACCTTGATGCTCTTAAGCTTTTCCACTTTCTAAATTATTAGGTGTGATTTTGGTATCTTTACATTTTGCTTAGAGAGATGACCATGCGTGATCTTTTCTAACTAGCTACTGGTGAACCCAAATTCCTGTCTGTAAGTCTCTATTAATGCTATGATGACCACTCCTGCTTCTCTTGCTGCACCTTCCGAACCCTCCTCCATCGCTCACCTTCCTTTTCTCCTTGCAAATTTTACCTCCATCTTTGAACATCTTAAGTGGATTGCTAATGCCATTAAGTACAATGTACAAGAAATTCACTTCGGTTTCTCTCCGGTTCCTGGGCTACCTCTCTTTCTTTATGCTCAGAATTGGACGTGTTAAATTTTTGAGGCTTTAATGTTATTTTTGGTATAAAATATAGTATGAGCAATGCCTTCGTGGGGCTCAAGTCCGAGGTCAGTGTTCGTTGAACATTGGCTTCTACCAGATGACTTTGAGGGTGACTTGATTTCTGGATGTGAATTTGGAGATCATATCTCTTGAAGGTTGTAGGGAATTAAAAACATAAAATATTGTTCGTTAAAGCTTAACAAGTGCTAAAACTAATTTCCTTCACTCACAAGAATGCATTGCCTGCTGATATTACTTCTCCAAATCTTGGCTCACTAGAGATTATTCAATTTAAGTCGAGGAGGTATTATTTCCAACTTCAAGGACTTGTCAGGTTTCACTGAAGCAAATATTTCAGTCTTGGACAGAAAAACTATATTAAGCATTGCAGACCAGTTCTTAGGTCATCTGCTCATGCCAAGCGTCTTACTATACTATGTTGTGGGATTAAGTTGATACTCTTTCCCTCCTTAATCTTGCTAAGATAAATTCTTTGCTATATGAATCTTTCTCGAGTTCAAGCCCACATCAGATTCAGGCTTCTTCTCCAGTTCAAAACTGTTCGTGTTGATAATTAGCGGGAAAAAGTGTGTGAGAGAGAACAGGCATCTTCTTTTGTTTTATTTCAAAATGTTTATATAAAATTTCTAGGTTTGTGTTTGCATAAGGAAAAAAATCATTGTAAGCAGCAACATGGCCTGTTCTTGGCTCTCGTACGTTAGAAAGTGTTTCTTGATTAAGTGATGGCCTGGTGTGAGATCTAATTTATGTGTCTAAATTTGGAAAGTTAGTCCATCAATTTCTCATGAGGATTAAAAGGATGTAAAAAATTGTTTAGAAACAAAATAATATTTTTTTTAAAAAAAGTTGGAGTAAGAAAAACGAAAACTGTAACTTCCTATGGAAAAACTAAATTTTTTAGTTTTTTTAAATTTGAATTCAGATTGAAAAACATATTTTAAAAATTCTCTGTATTTTTCTAATATAAGTTTTTCATTATTTTTCAAATGAAACAAATATGAATAATATTTTTTTTTATTTTATATCCAAGCCATTTTAAGCAATGTAAAAACTTATTTTTTTATATTTAGTTAGCATCATAAATTTACCTTTTATTATAAATTTAATATAAATATTTTTGAAAGGTTAGCAATATAGTTTTTACATGATAGTTTTTTTAAAAGAAATAAAATTATAATTTCATCTTTAACTTATCACGAATACAAAATGTTAAGATGTTTATTATAAATTATGATTTATATTTTTATAAAAAAATAGTTATAATCTTAAAGTATTTTTTTAGATGGAAAAATTTATCTTCATGATTTTGTAACAAATAAAACACGTTTTCGGATTTTTTATTGAAAAAATAAAACTAGAAAAGGAAATTAAAACTGCAAAAAAAAGTTTTATTATGTTACTCAACACATCCAAAGCTTCTTTCCTTTTAGCTCAAGCAGCTAAGTCTTTAGCTATTTTTGGATACAGAGATGGGGTCAGCTGAGATTCCTTGTCCAAATCTTCTATCATTAAAGATGATTTTGTTATAATGTGTGGAAGTATGCTCAAATGTTCTGCCATTGATGAGTGGGAAATGCACATCTTCATTTGCTGTCACACCCACTTGAAATCTATTTCTTAGATTCTTGTTTCTTTTTCCTCCTACTTTCCATGCAAAGTAGCTGCTGCAGCATTGTCAATTTTCCATCTCCATTGATGACCCTCCACCTTTTGGAGTAAGACAAGGTACTTGCAACCTAGTTGTGTAACTAAAATTGCATATTGCACCTAACTTATCCTCTGCTCACAACTATATAACCTCAAACTGTCCCCTCTATACACATCGAGCACTTCTAACAAAAATCAAGCTCAGTTTACATCAGCTTTTTTGCATTGTTTCTAGCATTATATATCTTAAGAACATAAAGATGAAGCCACAGTACTTGCTCTCTTCATTTTCAATTTTTCTTCTTTTCCTCCATTGTACCAATACCTTTGCCCAGTCACCAGCTGCAGCCCCGGCTCAGGCGCCAGCAGTGGTTGCATCACCTCCAGCTGCAACCCCAACACAGGCAGCTGCACCGCATGGCATCGCCAACGTCACCAAAATCCTTGAGAAGGCTGGACACTTCACGATCTTTATCCGCCTTTTGAGATCCACTCAAGAGGAAAACCACTTATTCTCCGCGCTAAATGACTCAAGTACTGGTTTAACAATCTTTGCTCCAACGGATAGCGCATTTTCGGAACTGAAATCAGGAACTCTCAACACGCTAAGTGATGGAGACAAGTCCGAGTTAGTGAAGTTTCACGTAGTTCCAACATTCCTATCAACTTCCCAGTTCCAGACCGTAAGCAATCCTCTCGGAACATGGGCCGGAACAGGTAGCAGGTTACCACTTAACGTGACAAGTTATCCAAACTCGGTGAACATAACCACAGGACTTACCAATACAAGTTTATCTGGAACCGTATACACAGACAACCAGCTAGCCATTTATAAGATTGAAAAGGTACTCCTCCCTAAGGACATTTTTGCTTCTAATGCTCCAGCTCCAGCACCAGTGGCACCTGCACCAGAGAAGCCAACAAAGGCAGTTCCTGCAGTAACTGTAGAGAGTCCTGCAGCTTCTGTGGATATATCTAGTGCCCTTATATTTACTCATAATGTTGTGGTGGGATCAGTTGGGTTACTTGCTTCTGCAATGTTTTCTCTGTAATGTAGAAGGATTTCGAATCTTGATATGATATAAGTAGGGGTTGTGTCCGGTTTGGTGCTTTATTTTGCTGCGCCGGCTGATTGTGTGTTGAATAATTCTGATTTTACCTTGAATCCAGTTTGTATGATTTGAGTTTGTGATCAAGGTTGAATTCCGATCTGTTGATTAATTTCTTGGTCAAATTGGAATACACACACACACACACACATATAAGTAGTCAATCTCGTTTTTTCATTTCATTTCTTATCACCTTGGCGCCATGTGCTTATTCCCTATCTTTTGGGTAAATAAGACCATTGCCTCCATGAGGCTCCAGTCTCTGAGGTCATTGTTTCCTTTGCTTTCTTCTCCAATAGGATGACTTTGTAGATGATTTCTGGGTACGCATTTGGAAAGCTTATCTGTTGAAATTTGTAGGGAATGAAGAAAGTAATAGTTTGGTTCTTTAAAGCTTAAGGGGCTAAAGCTTAGTTCCTTTACTGTCAACAATGCTTCAATTGAGGTTACTTGTCCAGATCTTGGGTTGCAAGAGATGGTTCAATTTAAGGTAGGTAGGTAGCATTTCAAGGACTTATCTGGTTTGATTTTAGAAAACATTCCATTCATGGACATAAAAGAGCATTGGGGACTGGTGTGTGAGGTCACTTGCTCATTCGCAGCGCCCTAGTGTGCTGCACAGCAGGATTAATGCAATCCATCTGTGTTTTTCCTTCATCTTGCAGTATTGACGTTTTGAAGCTAGTGATAAGTTAGAGCTACACATTTATTGATACATGTTGTAGGATAATGGTGAAAACAGATGTTTCATTGTGATTTTGGAATTCACACAAGCATGTTTCGAACCGAAATGTAGTTTTCTTTAAGCTATAAGGCTAGAAGACAATTGACAATTTAATTATTCAAAAGAGTAGAAAATGCTAATTGTCAAAAAAACAAGGGTTCTGAAACAGAACAACCTTTACTAAGACTGTTATATTATCTCCTACTTTGGGCTGGCAAACTTCTGGTGCAAAAAGAATTTCCACGCTATATTACCTGTCAGGACTCAGGAAACAAATATAACTGGTAAGCTCTTGTATTGGTATATGCAGATGGTTCCGTGTGCAAGTGTTGGTTAATAATTCTAGTTTCAACTTGCTTCATGCTAGTGACTTTCGCGACTTGTATTTTCTGGATAGGCTTCTTCTATTCTTCTTAATGACAACTTTTCATAAAAGTTTGTTATTACATGCAGATGCTTGCAGAGAAGTTAAGGATGTATATTTGTGGAAGCTCTCGCTGCAATATATCTGCAAGTTGCTTTTCTGCGTAACAACAGCTAAAGGTCACCGCATTAGCTTTCTCTACTTCATGAGCTCTGCAACTTCATTTTGATATGCTTGGTTTTTACTTGACTAACTGAATATTTTGCTATTGCAATTGCAATGGCCGACTTGTTATCAACTTGAATTCTAGTTGCTACATGCTGTTGCTGCCCCATATCTTGGAGAAGTTTCCTTAACCGTATGGCTGGATTCATAGTTGCTGCTGAAGTTATGCACTCTGCTTCTCCAGTGGATTGTGCCACGG